CTCACCCATAAGATATCCAGTTCATTTTCCACAGTGATAGTAATCATCGCTGTTGTATTTGTTCATCTTTGTTCCACCTTTTATATGTTCTCTCTTACCCTTCCAAATAAAACAGACAAAAAAAAGAAATCTAAAACAGCAACAATGGCACATAAAAAATGTTTCTTGTTTCCTATTCTTGGAATTCCTTTCATAAAATATTATTTTGTATGATCATCTTTCCATAGCTATGGAGCCTTTGTCCACAACTCTTATGCATAGCCTCCTTTGGCCTCTGTATGTTAATGACTATCATGTCCCAGTTTTAATTTATTTTAGTCATTCCATATGTTTATGTTTACTAGTAGATTTATAGGCACATTCTAGTTACCAAAAATGAGAGAAACCATGTAGCCTATATTTTTTGGCTCTGACTTACTTTGCTTAATATAATTTTTTCCAAGTCTTTCCATTTCCATTTCCTTATGAATGGTGCAATATCATTCTTTCTGGTGGATGAGTAGAAGTCTCTTCCCTGAAAGTCTATACATAGAGCTTCCCTATGACCCAGCAATTTCACTCCTGGGCATTTATCAATGGGCCACAAACCAGGCCAGACTAAAGCCACCAACACAACCATGTTTATTGCAGAGTTGCTTACCATAGCCAAGATGTGGAATCAAACTAGATGTCCCTCATTGGACAATTGAATCAAGAAAATATGGTATACACATACACACACACACATACACACACACACATACACACACACACACAATGAAATTCCAACCATGATATTTTTTTTACTGTGAAAATACTGTACAGAGGGGTTACAATTACATGAGCAAGATAATGAGTACATTTCCTATCAAGCATTGTAGCCTCCTCCTTTGTTTCCCATTCCAATCCCATCCTTTTCCCACTCCCCCACCCAACCCTCCTCCCCCCCCACCAAAGTTGTAAAGTTCGTTTTCGACATAACGATGTGTACGTCTCATTGTTGCAATGGGTCCACCTGAATCCCTATTTAAATGATTTGTTTTTCCCTTCCCCTCCACAAATTACACCAACATCTAATACGGTGAAAGCAGGGGTTATATCGTGGGGGAGGGACATACAAAGCAACAAAGAAATAATCCTATAAATGTGTTAGAAACATTTACATGAAAGAAAAAAACATTTGAATACATATCTTAGGCTTTATTTCCCTAACATCAACTTATCTGACCTTATCTGCTTGACTCAGACATACACTAGATATTGCAAATAATGGAAACCATGGGACCTATGTTTCTTTGGGCCTGGCTTACTTCGCTTAATATAATTTTTCCAAGTCTTTCCATTTCCTAACAAAAGGGGCAATGTCATTCTTTCTGATGGAGGCATAGAATTCCATTGTGTATATATACCACATTTTCTTGATCCATTCATCTACTGAGGCGCATCTGGGTTGGTTCCATATCTTAGCAATGGTAAATAAGGCTGCAATAAACATAGCCGTGCTGATGGCTTTAGTGTGGTCTTGTTTGTGAACATATTTTTAGGTTAGATATTTTAAGGTTAGATAATGTTTCAACAATAAATAACACAGTTATCCTATGTGTATAAGCTTCAATCAACCCACTGTATTACAAAGAAATAACCAAATGATCATCAAACATATTCAGTGAGGGTCATTTATTTTAACCCTGTTTTCTCACAGAATATCTTTAATTAATGTCAAGTGGTTTGTATTTTTAGGAATTAGTGTCCCCACAGAAATGTACTGATGTCAGGGAAATTCCTTTAGGATTTGACGAACTCTTTAATTTTGCAAGACAAGAGACCCAACTACGACCACTGACCTGCAGGTAGTCTCTGAGAATTTCATTCTCTTAACTCACATGTTTTGAACAAGTTACATATATATTCTAACACTTTAATAATAAGCACACAATGTACTAGCAAAAACCTCTGCAAAATGTAGGTAAGACAAGAGTTTCACTAAATTTTACTTTTAAATATAATATTCATAAATATGTCTTTATGTTATGCAAAATTTTTCATTGTTCCTAAATTTAACCATCTTCTTATCTTTCTATAGACAACATTAAGAGGTATGTAGTTTTATGATGATATAATACTGTACTTCATCTGAATTTCTCATTACAAAATTTCAAATTATGTAGGTAAAATTAAAGAAAATAACTAAATAATAAAGGCAAATGAGAATTTCATGGATTATATTTAATACTTTTATATTAAATACTTTTAATATTTAATGCTTCAGAATATAGATTTTATTCTCTTCTTTTTAATGTGATAAATATGGAAATACAAGCTCATTTTGCCCATAGAATTTATTAGGTTAATCAGTTAGCATGTCCCAATGGGTCATTTAAATAATATAAAATTACCTTTTAAATCAAAAGAAAATTTGAACTCAAATTTTAATTTTATGCAAAGAATTATGGAGATAATTTCAGTTAAATTTTTGAGAAGTGGTAGATTTTAATTTTTTCTCTATTTGAATTAAAATTAAAGTGTAAAATCTATCATTTTTATCTTTCTAATTCAGTGTGCTAATCATATATTCTTATTGAATTTTATGAAACAGATGTGATGAAACAAAGTTGAAAATATACATTTTAATTTAAAGAAAGATGCAATTTTAAAAAATTGATTTAAATTATTTTTCTACTACCAATTTAATAGTATTTATGTGTAGCTGCAAAGAGGTTATTGGAAGAGCACTATTAACAAGGCCATTGCTCCCAAATCATAAGACCAGATTCAGCAATGGAATGCATTCTGTCTTTTCCATTACAGGGTATGTGTGTGTGTGTGTGTGTGTGTGTGTGTGTAGTGTTCCATAGAGACTGAAGCCAGGGTCACATGTACCTGAGCAGCACCCATGCATATACCTAGAATATTTTACAACACCTTTCACAGAATTATGTAACAACCAGCCTTAAAATATTTACAATATCATTACAACTTGCTTACAAATGAAAACCATGAAACAAACATAAAGATTTACACACAACATATTGTACATTGTCCTGTGTATAGAAGACAGCTCCACATCTTAGAAAATATGATTGGTGTGGACTGGGACATTCAGATATTAAACTACATCAAGTAGCACTCTATAGCCTTACAAGGCTTAGATATCTGGGCAAAATAAACAATACTAATGGCAGGGACAGAGTGTTTATGGAAATGAGTGTTACTTTGGGGAAAAGAAATGAGACAAAATTATCTATGGATGTTTATTTCTTTAACTTTCCAAAGTAATTACCCTTAAAGATGAATATTCTCTACCTTAGTCCTTGCTGCAATCTCTAATGAACAAATTTATCATACCTCTATCATACTTTTTAAGATATATTTTTATTGTAAAAATACTGTACAGAGGGGTTACAGTTACATGAATAGGGTAATGGGTACATTTCCTGTCCAGCATTATTATCTCCTCTCCTGGCCCATCTCCCTAACTTCTCTCCCGAAATTGTGAAGTTTGTTTTAAATATGGAGTCTTGTACATCTCATTGTTACAATTGGTCAACCTGTATCCTTATTTAAGCATTTTGTTATATCCCTTCCCCTCCCCAAATTAGAAAAATGTATATACAAGATGCAGAACACTGGAATCAAATACAATGAAAACAGGGGTTATACTGTGGGAAAAGAACATATAAAAGAAATTTTAAAAATCACATATTACATTATAAATTACATTAAAAACAATAGCAAGCAAGAAAGAAAAAAACACTTGTGTCCCAGTCTTAGGATTCATTTCGCTTAACATCATCTTATATGTTCATATGTACATAGCTTTTGACAATTTCTGTTTGTTCTAGACATATACTAGCTATTGAAAATAAGGGAAACCATGAGACCTATGTTTCTTTGGGCCTGGCTTACTTCACTTAATTTTTCCTAGTCTTTTCATCTCCTAACAAATGGGCAATGTTATTCTTTCTGATGGAGGTATAGAATTCCATTGTGTGTGGGGTTAGTTCCATATCTTAGCTATGGTGAATAATGCTGCAATAAACAAAATTGTGCTGGTAGTTTTGGTATGACCTTGTTTGTGATCGTTTTGGTAAATCCCAAAAAGTCGGATTGCTAGGTCATAGGGGAACTCTATGTGGAGTCTTTTGAAGAACCTCCATACTGCTTTTCAGAGTGGTGGAACAAGTTTACAATCCCACCAACAATGCAGTAGGGTTCCCTTTTTTCAACAGCCCCTCTAGCATCTGTTGTTACTAGATTTCTTGATTATAACCATTCTAACACCAGTGGGGTGGAATCTCAATGTTGTCTTCATTCGCATTTCTTTTATGGCTAGAGAAGTTGAGCATTTTTTCATGTGTCTATTGGCCATTCTTATTTCCTCTTCAGAGAAGTCTCTCTTTAAGTCTTTAGCCCACTTATTAATCGAGTGGTTGTTTCTTTGAGGACTTGTTGTTGGGGAATTTAATTTTTTGAGTTCCAGGTATATTTTAGTTATGAGACCCTTGTCTGCTGTATGGCTAGTGAAGATCTTGTCCCAGTCTGTGGGCTTTTTATTGTCTATCATACATTTTATAAACATCCTTCATACAGGAAAATATACACAAATAGTCTTCTCAGTGGAAAAATTATATATACTAAAATTGATTTTTAAAATTGTTTTTGGAGTTTAAAAACCCTGTCACTAAAATAGTTGAGAATCATGAATAAACTATGAGTACACTGATTTTTTTTGTGGTGGTACTAGTATTTATTTGTGAAGAAAGAACTATCACTTGAGCTATTTCCTTATTTTATTTTGCTTTAACTATTTTCTCAAATAATGTCTCCGTTTTGATTGGGATCATCTGCAGATTAATTCTCTTCCTCTACTTTCCATTTAGCAGTGCAACTGTATTCCAGAGAAACCTGGGATGCAAGAAGAAGAAATGTCTTTAACTGTAGTTAAAAAATGAGGAGAAAATTATAAACATAAAATAAAATATTGAACCTTCATAATTCCTATATCCACAGACAAAGTAATAATGTATGAAAACAACTCCTGCACTACTGAATTTACCCTCACAGGAATTACAGAAAAGCCAAGCCTAAAGATGATCTCGTTTGTGATATTTCTTGCTGTGTATCTGGTCACCATAGTGGGGAATCTTGGATTGGTGGCATTGATATACTCAGAACGTCGTCTTCACACACCAATGTACATCTTTCTGGGAAATCTGGCTCTCATGGATGCTTGTTGTTCCTGTGCCATTACCCCCAAAATGTTAGAGAACTTCTTTTCTGCAGATAAAAGAATTTCCCTCTGTGAATGTATGGTCCAGTTTTATTTTCTCTGTCTTGCTGAAACTGCTGACTGTTTTCTTCTGGCAGCAATGGCCTATGACCGCTACGTGGCCATTTGTAGCCCACTGCAGTACCACACCAGGATGTCAAAAAAACTTTGCACTCTGATGGCCACTGGGGCCTTCATAGCTGGACACATCGATTCTACTATCCATGTGGCATTATTGTTTAGGTTAACTTTCTGTGGGTCTCACCAAATCAATCACTTCTTTTGTGATGTCCTTCCATTATACAGAATCTCTTCTGTTGACCCTTATGTTAATGATTTGATGATACTTATCATGTCAGGGTCAATTCAAGCCTTTAGTATTGCAATAGTTCTGGTATCATATTTCTATATTCTTTTCACTATATTCACAATGAAATCCAAAGAGGGAAGAGGAAAAGCCTTATCTACCTGTGCATCCCACTTCCTTTCTGTGTCAATATTCTATGGCTCTCTTCTCTTTATGTATGTTCGACCAAATTCAGTTAATGAAGGGGATAAAGACATATCTGTTGCTGTTTTTTACACTATAGTAATTCCTTTATTAAATCCCTTTATTTATAGTCTTAGAAATAAGGAAGTCACAAATGTTGTGAGAAAAATTATTAAAAGAGATAATTTTATAACACTGTGAAGCAAGTATCTTCTCTCAAGAATGAGTTCAAGTGATAATTTAGAGGTAGCAAGAAAAATTTAAAAATTGCCAATTTGTATGCAGAATTTTGACTCAGTATATGATGGCATCCATCTCACAATATTCAGAAAGGCAATCTATTAAAATATGCTTGACAATCTAAGTAATAGCAGGATATATAAGAAGTGAGTTAAAGTATTGTACTTACAAATGTTTTTCTTAAAGTAGTAGTCAATTTTACTTTCAAGTATGCTCACTAGAGTGTTTTTGTGAGATGTCAATCTGTAGTTAAAATTATGTTTATAGCAAAATGCTGTTGTGTCAATTTTTCATGTAGTTTGTTTCTTTATCATCATATAAAACATTGTATTTACTGATTATCCATTAACTCAAAGTGTGTCCTGTATCTTTGAAAACATCGTTTGCTTTGTTGGTCATTAGGATTTACAAAAGCCTGCACTGACTCCAGTGAAAACTCTTGATGTGTCCATAGCATTTACAAAATAGGGAAATGTTCCAAATAAGGAGTCAGAAAATAGTGAAATTATCATTAGCTACCTATGTAGCTAAATGAAAAGGAATATACAAATATTAGAAAAACAAAATGTACTATCCTTTGGACATTATGCTAGATATATCATATATTTATGTGTATGTATGTGTGTATGTGGGTATATGTGTGTGTAAAACCATAACTACAGATACACACATATTTATATAGCACTACATAGGCACTATTTATACAGATTCATATATATGAATACAGCCACTGAATAAAGAATGAATTAGATATTCATTTTATAATTTGGTAAACACTTATTAAAATATTGAGCAGCTGGTTTATGATCATCCCTACCCATGTAACAAGATTGCAGTTTTCACCAATATTTCAATTTCCTATAGTTTGGGTATACAGGAAATAGAAATTATGCCATCTCTAGTACTTAATTATTAAATAACATTTAAAGTAAACTGTACATTCAAAATGAAAATACTAGTTGGGTGATGGTGGTTTATCCCCATTATCCTAGCTTCAGAGACTGAGATCTGAGGATCACAGTTCAAAGCCAGCTTATGCAGGAAAATCTGTAAGAATATAGGCTCCAATTAACCACCAGGAAACTGGAAATAGTGTTGTGGCTCAAAGTGGTAGCATGTTAGCCCTGAGCAAAAGAGCTTGGAAAGTGAACCCAGGCCCTGAGTTCAAGGCTCACTACTGAAAAACATAAAATAAAAATGAAGTGAAAGTGAATATATTTTCTCAAACCTACAGAAGAGGTTAGAAAATCTGGTAATTACTATCTAGTCCTCTAAACCTGTTCATGCTTGATCATGGAGAACAAATACTGTCATTCCTAGAGGATAATTAACTGGATACTCTGACCTAATTAACTACCCTATTGCTTTGTTAGTCTTACAATTTCTACATCATGCAAAGAAGTTCATTCTTCATTCTCATGTTATATGACAAAGTCAGAAGATCTGTCTTCAGCATGGTTCAGAGTAGAGCTGGAATTATTTTGTTAATAGGTTACAATTCTGTAGTGCAGAGAGTAAAGACTTATTTCCAGACAATAGTTGTTTAAATTTGGATTCGTTTAGGAGTATTCCATAAAGTTTATATAAACCCCATATGCCTTCATATCATTTAACTAATTTCATAGCTCTTCTGAGACAAAAATCATATGAAACATTTCAAACTAATAAGATATCAAGAAGATTCCAAGAGTCATCTGTTTTGTGATTTAATTGTGAAGGACTCAATAAAGGGTTATGTATTGAATACTTCAACTCAGTTTCACGTCATTTTTATAGTCAGAACTTTGTTGTACAACTCCTCTTTTAATAGACATGATCAATCAGAATCAAGGCCATTGATTTCTTTTCCCTTTTTCAATTGTACCAATAATTTTTTATGTATATCTTCATCATCCACCTCAAATCACAACTGCTGGTGAGACTTATTGACACTGGTGAGACCAGTTGACACTAGTGAGACAAGGTAATTATATTCCAGAAAAGTGATCGTTTTTCTTGTTTGGATTCAATCCAAGATTATATTTACAGGGGTTGGAGGCAAGGCTCAATTGGTAGAGCACTAGCCAATGAGTGAGAGTGACAGGTACCGAGTTCCAGTCCCAAGCTCAGATCTAGGGAACAAAAAGGAGAAAATTCTTTTTACTGAACCCTTAAATCTTTGGGGTGATCATATATATATATATGTTTTTATTGTAAAAATACTGTACAGAGGAGTTACAGTTTCATGAGTAAGGTAATGAGCACATTTCCTATCAAGCATTGTTACCCCTTCCTTTGTTTTTCCCCTACCATCCCTTCCCTCCCCTCCTTCCCAACACCTCCTTCCCCACCCAAAGTTGTGAAGTTTGTTTTCAACATAGTGTCTTGTACATCTCATTGCTACAATGGGTTAACATGTATATTTAAGCATTTTGCTATTTCCTTTCCCCTCTCCAAATTATAAAAATGTATATACAAGATGCAGGGCACTGGAATCTAATGCAGTGAAAAGGTGGGTTATGCCACAGGGAAGAACATACAAAAGAAACAAAAAAATCACATGGTACATTATAAATACATTACAACAATAGCAAGAAAGAAAAAAACAATTGTGTCCTGATTTAGGGGTTAAATTCGCTTAGCATTATCTTATATGGTCATATATACACAGCTTTTGACTTTTTTGCTTTTCCTAGACATATACTAGTTATTGCAAATCACAGAAACCATGGGACCTATGTGCTTACTTCACTTAATACTATCTTTTCCAAGTCTTTCCATTTCCTAACAAATGGGGCAATGCCATTCTTTCTGATGTAGGCAGATAATTCTGTTGTGTATATATACCACATTTTCTTTATCCATTCATCTACTGAGGGGCATCTGGGTTGGTTCCATATCTTAGCTATGGTAAATAATGCTGTGATAATCATAGTTGTTCTGGTAGCTTTAGTAGTTTGTGATCATTTGGGGAAATGCCCCAAAGTGGGATTGATGGGTCATAGGGGAGCTCTATGTGGAGTCTTTTGTGTGTGTGTGAAAATACCATACAGAGGGGTTACAATTACATGCAAGATAATGAGTACATTACTTATCAAGCATTGTTGCCTCCTCTTTTGTTTCCCCTTCCCATCCCTTCCCATTCCCCCCATCCCCATTCCCCCTAACTCCCCCCAACCCCGCCAAAATTGTAAAGTTCGTATTTTGACATGACAATTTAAACATCTCATTTTTGCAATGGTTCCACCTGTATCCCTTTTTAAACGATTTGTTTTTTTCCCTTCATCTCCACAAATTATACCAACATCAAATACAGTGAAAGCAGGGGTTATACAGTGGGGGAAGGACATACAAAGCAACAAAAAAATCATCTTATAAATATGTTAGAAACAATTGCATGAAAGCAAAAATATTTAATACTTACCTTGGGGCTCATTTCACCTAACATCAACTTATCTGACTTTTCCTGCTTGTCTCAGACATATACTAGTTATTGCAAATAAGAGAAACCATGGGACCTATGTTTCTTTGGGCCTGGCTTACTTCACTTAATAAAATTTTTTCCAAGTCTTTCCATTTCCTAACAAATGGGGCAATGTCATTATTTCTGATCCATTTTCTTGATTCATTCATCTACTGAGGGGCATCTGGGTTGGTTCCATATCTTAGCTATGGTAAATAATGCTGCAATAAACATAGTTGTGCTGGAGGCTTTACTATGTCTTGTTTGTGATCATTTGGGTAAATGCCCAAAGGTGGGATTGCTGGGTCATAGGAGAGCTCTATGTGGAGCTTCTGAGGAAACTCTATACAACTTTCCAAAGTGGTTGAACAAGTTTACACTCTGACCAACAATGAAGTAAGGTTCTCTTGTGACAACATCCACTCCAGAATCTGTTGTTATTAGAGTTCTTGATTATAGCCATTTTAACTGGAGTGAGGTGGTATCTCAATATTGTTTTGATTTGCATTTCTTTTATGGCTAAAGAGGTTGAGCATTTCTTCATGTATCTATTGGCCATTCTTATTTCCTCTTCAGAGAAGTTTCTCTTTAAGTCTTTAGCCCACTTATTTATTGGGCAGTTGTTTCTTTGAGGATTTGTTGTTCGGGGATTTAATTTTTTGAGTTCCAGGTATATTTTAGGTATGAGACCCTTGTCCGTTGTATGGCTAGTGAAGATCTTCTCCATATCCGTGGGTTTTCTATTGATCTTGCTAGCTATGTCCTTTGCCATGCAGAAGCTCTGCAATTTCATGCAATCCCATTTGTCCAACCTTTCTTTGATTGGTTGTGTTTCTGGGTCTCTATTAAGAAAATTTCGGCCTGAGCCAAGGAGACCAAGGGTTTCTCCTATTCCATCCTGTAATGTTTTCAGGGTGTCTGCTTTGACTCTGAGGTCTTTGATCCATTTGGAGTTGATTCTGGTGCAGGGTGATATATAAGGATCTAGCTTTAGTTTTCTACAAGTAGTTAACCAATTTTGCCAGCACCATTTACTGAAGAGGCTGTCTTTCTTCCGTTCTATATTTTTTAGCTCCTTTATCGAAGATTAGATGGCTATCGGTCTTTAGGTTCATTTCTGGGTTTTCAATTCTATTCCATTGGTCCTGAGGTCTGTTCTGTGCCAGTACCAAGCTGTTTTGATTGCTATGGCTTTGTAGTAGAGTTTGTAATTTGGTATTGATATTCCTCCAGCACTGTTCTTTCTGTTAAGGATTGTTTTTGCTATTCGTGGTCTTTTTTTTTATTGGTAAGTTATATATTTTTTATTGTGAAAATACTGTATTCGTGGTCTTTTATTGTTCCATATGAATTTATGAGGAGTCTTTTAAAGAATCTCCATACTACTTTCCAATGTGGTTGAACAAGTTTACACTCCCACCAACAATGCAGTAGGAGAGCCCTTAAACTTTCTATTCTATGATTCTAGGTTACTATACTAGGTTACAATACCATAATCTATATTAATTGCACCAGTAAGGGTGCAAGATTGATTATTTGCTGTTGGTTTTATATTTTATGCACAGAATGATAAAGAGAATTTTATAATAATAATAACATCAGCAGTAATATAATAAAGTAGCAGATACAAAGCAACAAGATGAAGATGACCTTCAAACAACTTTAGTTAAAATTGTTTATTTTACCTTCTTGTCTCATGGGGCATCTTCAATTAATTTCACGTGTTTTATATTTTTAGGACTTTCAGAATACACTCATGTCGCTGCAATGAATTCCCTTTGGGATCTGATGGAACAATTTAACTTCACAGTATTAATTAAGAACAATGACCAATAGGTTGTCTCTAAGATTTTCATTCTTTGCATCCCACATACTTTGTATAGCAAAGCACAAGTACACTCTAAGATTTTGATATTTTCAGCATAAAGCATACAATGAACTAAGCTTTTTCTGAAAAAAACAAAGGTAAGCATTGTATATTAATTTTAGCCACCATATTTACTTTTCAAAATTATTTATCTTTTTTAGTATTCCTAATTTTCAACTCTTATTTTAAACTCCTAGATTAAAAACAGTGAGTGGTATTTGGTTTTAGGGTGAGGTAGAGCCCTGTGACTCATGCTATTTTTTACATAATAATATTGCAAATTTTGGCAGTAAAAATTTTAAATTCTGTGAAAAATTTACCATTGTTATTAAAAGTTTTATCTAATAACTAATTTTGTGGCAAACACAAATATATATATATATCTTAAGATGATTATATTGAAAATTTCCAATCAACTTCTTCAGAGTTTAGAGTCCAAACAGGGAACTAAGGATCAGTTGTAGAATAAGGAAAGGAAGGTCATCATAATCAGATGAATAGCAAGGAGCTAGTAATAGAGTGAATTGTCTTCTCTACATAGACTATTTATTGTTATTGATATAATAGAGCAGTTTGTCACGATGAATCATAAACAGGACAGCTTTCTTGCATGCTCTCATAATTTCCTATGACCAAGCAATGTCTACAGAATCCTCATAGATGTCACAATTCCTGTCTCGGAATTATCTGAAGATATTTATTTAATAATAAAGAAATAGCAATGATAATTTAAAAGCAAAAGCCATGCATAGAGGAGAAATTACAAATTTTCTTCAATCTGAAAGACATGCTCCACAATTCAAAATGGGAGATTAGGATAGCCTGAAACATTCAGGCATAACATTATTATGTAGCACTATACATGAAATATCCTTCATAAAATAAGAATGACTGGGATATTGGTAGAAAAAGAGAAATAATGACATAAAATGAGGATTAAGTCCTTACAAAATTGGATGTTACAATGGAGAAAATGTATCACAGATGATAATATATTGTCAGTTATTACTTTTTTGTAATGTACTTATTGTTTCCTTTGAAGAATTATACATAATAGTTTCAAGAGAACATCTTAACCTATAAGTATGATCTACCCTGACCCATGTCACTTATTTCTTTTACTTTCCAAAATAGTTATGACTGAACATCAACACCAATTATGCCACCTAAGATATTTATTAAAATATATCTCTAACATGTTTCCACAAAATATGGCCTCAACTAGAAAAATGTGTAAAAACAGTCTTCCCAGTTAAAAATAATCAACACATCTAGGAAAACTGATGGTTGATTCCTACCATGGAGCTTCAAAAAACTGACACTAAAATTATTTAAACAATAAACCAAATATAGGATCCCTATAAGATATAAAGATACACATTGTATAGTTTGGACAGCTTCTTTGGAATTACTAAGGCAATTGTTAGGGAATTATCCTATTTAGATATGTTAGTGAATGTTGATAGTTAAAGATTTAGGTCCTTGGTTCTGATACTAAGAAAAGTAATGTCCAAGATTACAGATAGGTGTATTGTATTAACAGTCCATATGCTTTAAGAAGAAAATAGTTTATCTATTGTTTTAAAAATTGAGTGAAAAATTGTGTGTTTTCCATTCCAATTTAAATCTACCCAACTTCAATCTTAACAGGTGAATTAAGGATGACTGAGGACAACAACTCCTCCATAACCGAGTTCATCCTCATAGGATTTACAGATCATCCGGAGCTGAAGGCCCTCCTGTTTGTAGTGTTCTTTGCCATCTATCTGGTTACCATAGTGGGGAATCTTGGATTGATGGCCTTGATTTACATGGAACGCCAACTTCACACACCAATGTACATCTTTCTGGGAAACCTGGCTCTCATGGATTCCTGCTGCTCCTGTGCCATTATTCCAAAGATGTTGGAGAACTTATTTTCTGTAGACAGAAAGATTTCCCTCTATGAATGCATGGCACAGTTTTACTTTTTTTGTTTTGCTGAAACTACAGACTGCTTCCTTTTGGCAGCAATGGCCTATGACCGCTATGTGGCCATTTGTAGCCCACTGCAGTACCACATCAAGATGTCTAAGAAACTCTGCATTCAGATGACAACAGGTGTTCTCATTGGTGGAAACCTGCATTCAATCATTCATGTAGGACTATTATTTAGGTTAACTTTCTGCAAGTCAAATCAAATCAACCACTTCTTTTGTGATGTCCTTCCCTTATACAGACTCTCTTGCATTGATCCTTATATTAATGATTTGATGATACTAATCTTGGCAGGTTTAATTCAAATTTTTACTATTACTGTAGTCCTAATATCATATTTCTGTATTCTTTTCACTATATTCACAATGCAATCCAAGGGGGGAAGAGGAAAAGCCTTATCTACCTGTGCATCCCATTTCCTCTCTGTGTCAATGTTCTATGGCTCTCTGCTCTTTGTGTATATTCATCCAAATTCAGTTAATGAAGGGGATAAAGACAGAGCTGGTGCCGTGTTTTATACTCTAATAATTCCTCTGTTAAATCCTTTCATTTATAGTCTTAGAAATAAAGAAGTAACAAATGTTATAAGAAGAATAATAAACAATAAAAAATTTTAGATATTCTGAAATAAGTATGATAGACCCTAGAACAAAATGATTTCAGTTTGAAAATACTTTTGCCTAAATTGACATAAAATGACAAAAGAGAAAAACTATGCAAACAGCGACTTAGTAAAACATGATAATATTTGAGTTTCATTCTAAATGAAGAGATTTTGCTTGAATATACTTTATAATGTGGGTACTAAGACACACAGGAGTAAAGAAACTTTTCTGAGTCACGATTTTTGAAATGGTCGTAAAATTCAAGGAACAAGAGTTTGTATATATAAAGGTAGCTGATGAAAGTCTTGATACTGAAACACAATCTTAAAGGCTCAGGCACATTAAAAATGTGCAGACATTAATCTGATGTCAAACAACACAATCCATGGTAGGTAAATTGTATGTTTCAACTGAACTTACATCTTAACTTTAGGAAATAAGGATATTTATAATTTTGAAACAGATGTGTATAAAAATAATGATTAAAGGACATGGTGTTTGGATGTGAAATCTCTCACAGCCCATTTTCATATAGCTATCAAAATGAAAATCAACATCACTCAAACAGGTGTACAAATGAGAAACACAACACACACATACACACATACATACACACACACAAACACACACACATACACACAAATTACCCCCAAATGGCTACAGTGAACCCTCCCGCCTCATCACATAATCAATAGATCTTTTAACATTTATGCTCACTTTGGAAAAGTGTTATATTTGCAACTGGTAATTAGTAACTACTACTTTCTTCTCTCTTGCCTGCTTCTTCATGATCCTTTATGCCCCAATCCTCATACACTAATTTAACTTTCATATAACTTTTCAGTGGTACACATTTTATTACTTTTGAAACTATTAAGTCTTTACACACTTTATTATGTCTATAAACTTACTTTAAACTTACTTTGTATTTTTCCAACATTGAATAAAGATGGAGGTCTTTAACTGATTATTGTTATCATAATTCCTATGTGGGTAGAAAAGTTAATAATGAACAAAAACAACTCCTACACAAGTAAATTTACCCTCAGGATTTACAGATAAATTAAGCCTAAAGATGATTTTGTTTGTGATAGTTCTTTCTTGCTTTTTTTTTTCTTTTTCTCTTCTTTTCTTTTTTTTTTTTTTGTCTGTCATGAGGCTTGAACTCTGGGCCTGGACACTGTCCCTCAGCTCTTCAGCTCAAGGCTCATGCTCTACCACTTGAGTGACAGGGCTACTTCTAGTTTTCTGGTGGTTTATTGGAGATAAGAGTCTCACAGACTTTCCTGTCCAGGCTGGCTTTGAACCAGGATCCTCAGCCCTCAACCTCCTGAGTAGCTAGGATTACAGATGTGAGCCACCAGCACCTGGCTTATTTCTGCTGTGTATCTGGTCACCATGGTGGGGAATCTTGGATTGGTGGCATTGATATACTCAGAACGTCGTCTTCACACACCAATGTACATCTTTCTGGGAAATCTGGCTCTCATGGATGCTTGTTGTTCCTGTGCCATTACCCCCAAAATGTTAGAGAACTTCTTTTCTGCAGATAAAAGAATTTCCCTCTGTGAATGTATGGTCCAGTTTTATTTTCTCTGTCTTGCTGAAACTGCTGACTGTTTTCTTCTGGCAGCAATGGCCTATGACCGCTACGTGGCCATTTGTAGCCCACTGCAGTACCACACCAGGATGTCAAAAAAACTTTGCACTCTGATGGCCACTGGGGCCTTCATAGCTGGACACATCGATTCTACTATCCATGTGGCATTATTGTTTAGGTTAACTTTCTGTGGGTCTCACCAAGTCAATCACTTCTTTTGTGATGTCCTTCCATTATACAGAATCTCTTCTGTTGACCCTTATGTTAATGATTTGATGATGCTTACCATGTCAGGGTCAATTCAAGCCTTTAGTATTGCAATAATTCTAGTATCATATTTCTATATTCTTTTCACTATATTCACAATGAAATCCAAAGAGGGAAGAGGAAAAGCCTTATCTACTTGGGCATTCCACTTCCTTTCTGTGTTAATATTCTATGGCTCTCTTCTCTTTATGTATGTTCGACCAAATCCAGTTAATGAAGGGGATAAAGACATATCTGTTGCTGTTTTTTATACTGTAGCAATTTCTTTATTTCTTTTACACTGTAGTAATTTTCTGTAGTATTTCTTTATTTCCCTTTATTTATAGTTGTAGAAATAAGGAAATAAAAAATGTTTTGAGAAAGATTATGAAAAGAGGTAATTTTATATCACTGTGAAGCAAGCATCTTCTCTCAAAGTGTTTCCAAGTAATAATTCAGAGATAGCAAATTTTAAAAATGGCCAATGTATACTCAGAATTTTGACTCATATGATGGTATCCATCTCACATAATTTCAGAAAGATTATATTCTATTAAAATATGCTTGACTATCTAAGTAGTAGTAGGATAAATAAGAAGTAAGCTAAAGAATTGTACTCATGAATAATTCTTTTAAAAGTAGTAGTCAATGTTACTTTCCAGTATTCTCACTAGAGTATTTTTGTGATATGCTATAATATACCAATCTGTAGCTAAAATTATATTCATAATAAAATGTTTTTGTGTCGACTTTTCATATAGTTAAATTCTTTGTCAACATATGTGACATTGTGTTGGCTGATTATTCATTGAATTGAAGTTTTTTGTCTCTTTGAAATCATCATTTATTGGTGGTTAATAGGATTTCCAAAAGCCTACATTGACTACAGTAAAAACTCTTGACATGTTCAAATCATTTACAAAATATAAAGATGTTTCTAAATAGTCAGAAAATAGTGAAATCAAAATAGCTAAACAAAAAGAAATGTACAAGTATTAGGAAAAATAAATAATTAGAAATGTACTATCCTTTAGCCATTAAGCTGAAGCTGCCACATGTGTACATATACATATATGTGTGTGTAAAACAATACAGGTGCAGATATATGTATAAAACGACATATAAACTTATGTATAGCAGCTAAACTAATTAGACATTTCTTATAATTTTCTTGAAAAATCCCCTATTCATTAAATATTGAGTAGTTTGTTTATGGGATTGCAGTTTCCATCAATATTTCCTTTTTCCCTATGTCATCCTTGGTATTTAGTTGTTAAATAACAACCAACCCCCCACCCCCCTGCGCAAAAAAAAAAAATCCTCAAAGAAAAAAACCATTAACAAATGTGCTAAAGAATTAAAAAGAGACTTTTCTGGAGAGGAAATTAGAATAGAAATAGACACATGAGAAATGCATAAAAGAAATGCCATAAAAGAAATGCAAATCATTGAGAGCCCACTTCACCACAGGTAGAATGGCCATTATCAAGAAAATAAATAATAACAGATACTGGTGGGGATGTGGCCAAAATAAACTCTCTGACAATGTTGGTGGTGGGAATCTATGTTGGTTGAACAACTCTAGAAAGCAGGATGGAGGGTCAAATTGGAAACAAAGGAGGGCTAACAATGCTTGTTAAGAAATGCACTCATCACCTACCCATGTAATTGTAACCCCTTTGTACGGTATTTTCACAATAAAAAATAATAAAGAAAACAGGATATTGGAAAGTTTAAAAAAATAGAAAACGACGTTTACATCTTTGGCAGGGGGGTTTGGGGAACAGGGTGGGGGTAAGGGTGTAGTTGTGGAGGTGGGAGGGAGGGAATGGTAGTGGAAAACAAAGGAGGAGGCAACAATGCTCAATAGGAAATGTATTCATTACCTTGCTAATGTAACTGTAGCCCCTCTGTACAGCATTTTTACAATAAAAATGTGCAAATAATTTAAAAAAAAGACTAAACATAGAGTTCCCATATGATCCAGCAATCCCTCTCCTGGACATTTACCCAAACGATCACAAAGAAGGCCACACTAAAGCTACCAGCACAACTATGTTCATTGCAGCATTATTTACCATAGCTAAGATATGGAACCAACACAGATGCCCCTCAGTACATGAATGGATCAAGAAAATGTGACATACATATGTGTGTGTGTGTGTGTGTGTGTGTATGTGTATATATATATATATATTTATATATATATATATATATACATATACACACAATGGAATTGGATGCTTCTATCAGAAAGCATGACATTGCCCCATTTGTAAGGAAATAGACTTTGAAAAACTCATATTAAGTGAAGTAAGCTGGACCCAAAGAAACATTGGCTCCATGGTTATCCTCAGTTATAATAATTAGTATATATCTAGGATAGTCCTAGCAGAGGATCACAATAGCTCAATAGCTATGTACATATGACCATATAAAGTGATGTTAATCCAAATGAACTCCAAGATAGGGAGACAAGAATTTTGTTTTTGTAAATATACTGAGTGAAGTTATTTCTTTTTTCTTTCATTCCCCACCCTTTGGTTTATCCCCTGTTGTCACTGTGTTTTGTATATACATTTATTTGGGGAAGGAAAGGAAAATAACAGAATGGTGAGACGAAGGACAAAGGGTGAACCAATGCAACAGCGATACTCTCCAGACACTATGTTGGAAATGAACTTCACAACTGGGGGGGGAAGGGAATAAGGAGAACTTAAAGGTGGGAGAAAGTGAGGGAGGGTGTAACAATGTTCAGCAAGAAATGTACTCATTACCTTTCTTATATAACTATAACTGCTCTGTACATCACCCTTAAAATACAATTACATTAAATTTTAAAAGAACATGATATCCTGGTGTTAGTGGCTTGCACCTGCAATCCTAGCTTCTCAAGAGCCTGAGATCTGAGGATTACAGTTCAAAGGCTCCCTAGGCAGCAAAATCATGACTCCAATTAACCAGAAAATCAGAGCTCTAGCCTTGAGCAAATGAGCTCAGGAATAGTACCGTGGCCTAAGATAAAGCCCCATGACTGACAGAACATAAGATAAAAGTGAAAATATAGTGTGTAACAAACAACGACAAAGAAAAACTCTTGTTTTTAAATTGTGGGATTCATTTCTCTTAGTATCATCTTATTGGTCATTCAGACCCACAGAATCAG